CAATATTGCTCAGTCATGACTGCTGACATCATTGTTTTTAGCTCTTTAAATCTGCTAAAATCTTTTTTAAAGTAGCTTTTAAAAGCCCAACTGTGGCAATTTTCTTATTTTAAAGAAGCTGAAAATGAAATCGAAATTTTGAAACGAAAAAGGTAGGAGGCGATAGTAGAACGAATGATCTTCAAATAATGACCAGCTAAACAAGCACTAGACATATTGGCCTGCTTCACAGAGTGGCCAACCGGTTGCCTTGAAGGGCAGGGCAGACAAACAGGGCACAGAGGCTAAGGCCTTCTCCTGATTTTGCCTCCTAGCACTGGTATTCAGAGGTTCGCTGCCTCTGAATATAGAGGTCCTCTTTAGTCATCATGGCTAGTAGCCACTGGTGGACCTCTCCTCCATGAATCTAATTCCCTAATGTTCATAACTAATAATACTAGATCGAGTGGCAGATAATTCCACAGTTTAATTACTTGTTGAATAAAGAAGTATTTCCTTTTGTCTGTCCTGAATCTACTGTCCATCGGGTGTCCCTAGTTATAATATTATAGAAGAGGGAGAAAAAGTCCTCTTTGCCCACTTTTTCTACCTCATACACCATTTTATAAGCCTCTGTCATGTCCCTATTAGTTGCCTTTTCCCCTTAACTGAAAAGCGCCAGTCTCTCGAGCCAGTTTGGTGTCATGGTTAAGAGCAGCAGACTCTAATATGAGAGAACCGGGTTTGATTACCCACTCCTCCACATGAAGACAGCTGCGTGACCTCGGGTTAGTCAAAGCTCTCTCAGTCCCACCTACCTCACAGGATTTCTGTTGTGGGGAGAGGAAGGGAAGGTGATTGTAAGCCACTCTGAGACTCCTTCACGTAGTGAAGGGCAGAGTATAAAACCAACTCATATGTTCTTCTTTTCACAAAGGAAAGGTGCTCCAGCCCCTTAATCATTTTGGTTGCCCTCTTCTGAATTTTCTGTATTCTGTTCTATACCAGAGCATTAGAATATTGGCCATTTTTTCAGTCCCTTTTCTAATAACCCCATCTTTTTATACTGCTGCAGCACACTGAGTCATAGAGCATTCAGATATTGGCCATTTTAATTTTCAGTCCCTTTTCTAATAACCCCAGCTTTTTATACTGCTGCAGCACACTGAGTCAAAATTTTCATTAAACTGTCTACGGATAATCCCCAAATCTCATTCCCTCTCTGTCTGGGCCAGTTCAGTTCCAATCAATATGAATTTAAAGTTAGGATTTTTTGTTCCTATGTGCATATATGTGGCAAGTCCCAACACTGAACTTCGTTTCTCGCATTGTTACCCACTAACCTAATTTAGAGATCTCTTCCTGTAGATCTTCAAAGTCCACTATGATTTTCATTATCCTGAATAATACAGTATCATGCCCAACCTCGGCCACTACACTGTTCTTCCCCAATTCTAAATCGTTTATGAATAAATTAAATAGCATTGGTCCAACATCAATCCTTGCAGGACTCCAATGTTCACTTCCCTCTGCTACCCCAAAATCTGGTCTGAAGGAGGGTTTGTTTTAACCCAGTCTTTCTCCACCTCTCATAGTTTATTCACTTATACCAACTTCCTCCCCAATGGGAACCCAAAGTAGCTCACAACATTCTCCAATTCTCCATTTTATCCTCACAACAACCCTGTCAGATACGATAAGCTAACAGCGTGTGACTGGCCCAAATTAACCCAGCAAGCTTCCATGGCCGAGTCGAGCCTCGAAACGTGGTCTCTCAGATCCTAGTCCAATACACAGGCTCTCTGTTTTACTGGGTAAGACCTGTACACCCCTACATTGAAGTAACCATTAAGGGCCTGGTGTCTTTACCCACAGTGATTCTATGGGAGAATTCTATCCATAATGCATTCTAGCTTGTTTGACTCTAAGCCCTCTATGACAGAATGACTCCACTGATCCAAGAGAGCCTCTCCATTCAGCCTCTCCAATGCGTCTAGGCACTCAGTGACAATCCTGAATTTCTGTCAGGTGATGCAACGGAGCCTTGAAAGTTCTTTTCTCATTTCTCCTTTGGTACGCTGCCACCAACTTGCCATTTGGGGAATTATCCACCAAGAGAGCCAGTACACCCAGCTTCCCATTCTGCATTGCCATTCTAAGGCTCCACCGAGTGCCTACATTTCCTGCTACACAGCAACTGCTTACCACAGGGATGGCTTACCATACTTGCGCACTCCTGGTGAAATAGCAATCTAGTAACAAACTTCCTACCTTCTTCTGGTGCCCTTTTCAAATGGCATGTTCAAATCAAGTAGCATGTGACAATCTAAGTGATACTACCACCAGCCTCTGGTGCCCTTTTCAAATAGCATGTTCAAATTGTGACAATCTAAGTGATACTACCACCAGCACTTAAAAGTAAAGAATTTATTAAAAGTAAAAAGACCACACACGTACTCTCTGTTTAGCAATGGACTGCACAAGGAATACAAAGGAAAGGTGTAAATACACGTTCCTCCTGTCCCTCAGCCCTATGCATGCCCTAGCTGATCTTGTTCTAAGGCAGGCTCTTAAAGCTTAGAACTTAGTGTTCTAAAAGCTACCCATTACCTTGGGAGCCTCTGTCCAGGCAGCCAGCACTTTGTCTGTCCCACATGACAATGGCACCCATCAAGATGGAGCCAAAGTATTAGAGCTCCTTCCTCTAGATGGAATCTGCCAAAGACCCCTCTTCTCTCTGTGCCAAGAGATTTTATTATCACTATTTGCCCACCCTTGTGGGTCAAAGAATTCTTCACTGAGGTCCTCAGGAACATACGATTTAGTCTCTCCCACCCCAAAGTCTCTGTGTCAACTCTTATGTGTCAGATTCAAGCTAAGGTTTAAGCTGGCCATTTCATTGCCTTTGGGCAGGAGGACCAATTGAAGCGATTTGATGGTTGGTACTTGGAGAACGTCTGGGAGGAACTTACTTCCCCCTTCGGGTAGGAGAGGGAAAAACTTTCTCATCTACATCTAGTTGGCCCTTCATATGGAACAGGTAGCAGTTCAGAGAATGCTACCTTTGTGGTCCTAGACTTCCAACTTTTTACCTAGTAATCTAATTTTTTCCTCCAGGACCATATGGCTACATTTCCCAAAGTCATTGCACAATGGCACCTGACTCCTTCCTCACATTAGTGAGGGAATTATCTAAACAGTGGGGAATGTCCACAACCTTTACATCAGACAAGCAAGTCATTACGCAGTCAGAAAGCCTGCCACGGACCCTGTGCTCTCTAGGTCCAATGATCCAATTTCCCTTTACTAGAAGCCCCTCTCCCTCCAACCCTTGTTATGAGAGGATCATCATGCAAGCAACGGGTTCCTTCTAAGGAATTGTTTCTGTCCCCCGTGACCCAACACCCTCTTAACTGGAAATTCTCGATCTCTATAGTGTCACAGGAGCTGTCAGCACATGAGACCCTATTGCTTCCTAATATTTTGTTCCTACGGGTCAGTGGACCCTCAGGAACAAAGGAGGTTAAGTGGTAGTCTGCAGCGGGAGTGAGAAACCAGCAGAAATCACTGCCCTCTCTTCCAAAGTCCCTTAAGTCTTCAGAAGAGCATGGCTAGATACGTGCCACTTAATGTAACACCCTACTGCAGGAGAGGTTGCCCTGAATCCCCTGAAAATAATCTGAGCCTTTCACATATCCCTAGTTTAACTGCTACTTGCTCAATAAGGTCCTGGAAGGCTGGCGGCACTTGGCCTAAAATTAAATGACTGTCCTCAATGACTGAGGGCGTGCAGAGTGAAACAAACAAATCCGCATTTACAATTAAAAATACAGTTTATATGTTGTCGCTCTCTGTATTTAAACTGAACCTGTGCCCCATCTTGACTCTTCTCAAAATGTCGTTGTGTAGGAACCCGCTCTTGGAACTACTGGGCTGGTAACAGCCAAGGCTCACTCTTTTTTTGGAACAGCCTGCCTGAAGACATGAAAAGAGCCCCCTCCCTCCTTGACTCAGTTTTGCAGAACACTTCAGACCGTCTTGTTTAGAGAGGACTTTGACAGATATTAAAATCCACCACTATGCTGGTGGATGAAACATCAGGTGGCTGATATTAGCTATGTGAGTTGATGTTCTGGTTTTTAACCTTTTTGTTCATCAGGTTTATGTTGATTTGAAACCCACCCTCAGTCGCAATATGTAGGGGAAATGCAGATTATAAGATAAATAAATAGAAAAGTAACAAACTCCAAGTAACACTTCTACAGCAGCCCAACACAAATCATGTTAAAAGACTTCTATTAGAGAAAAGGGGAATAATTTGTTAAATAGTAAAACTATTCTTAAGCACCTAAGAAATTACATACACAAAGAGCAAGCAGTCTTGCACAGTATAAAGGCTGTACTTAGATGCAAATTAGTATGCTTTTATGGTTATATAAAGCAAGTACTAGTGCAAGTAGTTTGGCATAGGAGATACCCAACATACAAAGGAGAAACTTCATTTAAATCACTCTTCTGTTGGCAACTTAAAATAAAAGATTTTTAAACCATTGACCTGTCGGCAAAGCCCTTATGCAAATCCTCCCGTCTCTCTCTGAATTACTTGAGATTTCTTGAAAAGCGGAATGAAGGTAATTCCTTCTTCATAGACTTGATGATAAAGAAGTAACACTTATTTTTCCCCCACTTAGTGACTCACCACCATGCATTCTGTATTCAAATCAGGACTTTCTTCCTACTCATTTTATACCAATTACATTTTATACAAATCACAATGGAATATCAATGCAGACAGTACGGTGCATGCATATATGTGTGTGTGTGTATACACACACATACATGACACCAAAAGTTATATAAAAAAGCCCTGCCGGACACTGCCTCCAGTGTCTCTTTTATAAATAAATAAAATCTAGTGAAAAATAAATCAACAACAACTAATGTCAAGAGGGCAGAAGCCAATGAACAAATAAATTATCAAGACTATCACGACTTTCCAAAAATTTAACAAGATCTCTCACCTTAAATCTCTTGTCCTGCAGAACTTTCTTAATGGCAACCAGCTCCCCTGAATCGCAGAGTTTGGCTTGATATACGACACCAAAAGAACCATTTCCAATCACCTTGGTGTCTGTGTAACTAACTTCTTGAGGCCTGTCTGGACCTTGTCCGGGAGTTGCTACCACTGTGGTCACTTTGCTGCCATCTTTATCTCCTGGAAACATCAAAAATGAAGCAAGACGGTTAATACAGGTGAATTTATGTCAGAGGAGAGCGATATGAAAGACCAAACCACTGTGTCAGTTCTTCTCAGAGGGGAGGCACTCTGAGCTCACAAGTCCCCAGCAATAGTTTTCGATTTGTGCCAGGGACACGTGTCCCAAGTTGCACAATCCTCAGTCCAATTCTCCCTTCATGCAGGAAGAAGAGGCAGAATACCCCCACGCATCCATCTAGTTCAAGTTTCCTGTTCACACAGACTCAACGCTCAGCAGTCAGGGCATCTGTGGTATAATGCTTGACGGCTTTGGTTCAGAGGCAAGCGAACCACCCACCCCAGAGCTAATCGGCCGTCACACTATTGTGCTTACTGGGGAAAGGGGAAACTTCCACATCACTGATTTCCTTTTAACAGCAAACTGCAGAGCGGCAAAACAGGGTTGCTCAAACTAACAAGGTAGGAGTTGCAACCAATGCTCCCTCTAAGTTGTAGAGTCTTGTGAGCAAAAATTCTACTTTGCCAGCTACTGGCATTAAAGTTGTGAGCGACCGATTAGTTTGCTCTCGAGCCCTCCTTCCTGAGCTAAGACAAAAATGTGTGAGCCGGAGGCTAAAACACTGTGAGCTAGCTCATACTACCGCAGCTTAGAGGGAACTCTGGTTGCAACGTATTTGGGGGGATTTACCCAGCAATGCAGGAAATGATTACTTCATAAATTACAATGGGAAGCCCTCTTCCCCAATGACCAGATGAGGACTCAGCTTCCAGGAGGAATGGAACCCTGAGCTTCAGTTGGAAGGGAAAAGAAAGCAGAAGGTGTGGCAACTATTGGGGGGGGGGAACCTCTGAGGAAACTGCTTTCGGACTGACCCACTCTGACCTCTCCTACAGATTCTTTATACCCCAACTGCCCACAATCAAATAAAAAGGGGTACAAAAGCTTTAAGATAAAGTATGGATTCCTTAAAGGTCTCTTATTTACGACCCTGCTAGACTAAGGCTGTATTTCAGAGACCCCTGCTTCTCAGATTTTTTGACCTGACAGACAAGACACAGAGGGAGATGAACAGCAAAGGTTTATTCCACAGAAAATAAAGTGTTTAATAAGGTAAATATGATGTGTGGACAACTCAGATATATAAAGTAAAGCTGGCTCTCAAATAGAGGAAATAGCCCCCTGAGGGGAGATCTGATTCCCCTTCCTCTGGAGGGGTCACCTCAGCAGGTTCAAGGTGGCTCTTTTCTCTCACAGAGCCCCCACACACCAGGTTAGGAATGATGAACCCTGAACAGGATGCTTATTTGTACAACTAAAATAAGCTTTCTTCCTTCAGCCGACCCCCCAAACCCTAACCACAAAAGCCACATAGAATCCCCCTCCCAAATGAAAAACGTTTCTTCTTCGCCTCCTTCTTATGGCTGAGGCTGGCTCAACCCCCCCCCTCCCATCCACTGGAGTTCCATGGGCTCCGATTGGCTGACAGTAAGGCCTACATCACAAAGATTGGGCCAGAGCCCTGGAGGAGAGGCGGGACTTTTAAGGATGATTGCCAGAAAGAGGGAGAACAGATCTCAGAGCATGGGGTACATATCTCCAAACTGAACAATGTTTGAGTCTGTTGGCACCTTTGAGACCAGCAAAGTTTTAGTCTGGGTATACGCTTTCATGTGCACATATGCTTCTTCAGAAACAGAAGTCACCAACCATTACATATAGGTGTTGCCAAGTGAGGAGGGTGTTGCCAAGAAGGGCCAATTAGAGCCAAGACGCGTAAGTAGTTAAAAGCTATATTTTAATCACTTTTTCATCGTTCCAGTCTCTTTGATTTACCCCCCACCCCCAGACCACCAAGGAAGTCCAGTGTCCCTAGGCAGAGGTGGGCAATGGCAAACCTCCTCTGAACGTCTCTTGCTTTGAAAATCCTGCGGCGTTGCCATAAGTACGCTGTGACGAGGCAGCAAAACTAAAATCGGAAAATGGGGGTTCTTGAACAACTTGCTTTGCTAATAATAAACCTCCAAGAAGCAGACCGCAAAGGCTTCAGGAACCGAAAACGCACTTCTTATTTTTGACCTTCGGGCTGGTCCACCTGCGCAGGTGGTAGAATGGGCATACCACTTCAGACTGCAAGAGGGGGGAAGTCTTGTTTTAATGCTCCCCCAGGTGAAAAAGATTCTGTGCAGATTTTTTTTAAAAAAGCAGATTGGGGGGGGGAGGTTCTGTTTTTCTTCTTTCAGAGAATGGTTTGTGATGGGGAACTTCTGAACCATTATCTTTCCCCTGAGGTCTTGAGTCCATTCTATTCTGCCATCTCGTGATCATCTCATTCTGATGTACTTTTAGGCCAGGCCTAAGCAAGCTCTGGTTCACTCTTGGTATTACCTTTCTCAGCTATTTGTGATTTTGGGATCTGACATTACATTCAGCCAAACAGTGCTACGAGGGCAGCAGGGAAAAGTGCAGCTGCAATCCTCTACAGTACAGGAGATTGTTGCTGAAACTCCTAGGCGGCATCCCCAAACTCTAAAGATCTGTATGCAACCTGTCTGAGGTCTCCTTGCAGTATTGCACACAAGGAACAATGACACTATGGCACTTCTCTACATTGGCTGCATTACAAACACAGGAGCAGACAAAATGAGACCTACTAGTCTCATACACGGTTCACGCTTCATCATTTAAAACAGCTTTCCCTGGGTGTGCCCTACCCATTTCCTAGTGATACAGACCTCATTGCCCTAGTTGTTAATGCCTGGATAATCAGATTTCATTCTGATGGCCTTCTGATGTCCTGTCATGTAACCATGAACTGTCTTGAAATCCCGTCCCTGGCTTATCAAGGAAGTGGGCCTTCTCTGCAGAAAACACAAAACAATCTCTTTTTCAGGTTTCCTGTGAGGTGGCTCTTCTATTTCTCTAAAAGGTTTGGGGTGTTCATCTGCAAATGGTCAGACTTCTTGGCTTACTTTTTTTTTTTTATAAAGACTTCTTGGCTTACTTTGTTGCGCATCTGATACTAAATTTGAAGGCTAGCTTCAGAACGTAGCCCTGTTGGTCCCTGCAGCAGAACAGGTAGATTTGAAGCCAGTATGACTCTAAAGACCCACAGGAGTTTCAAGGTATAAGCTTTTGAGAGTCAAAGGTCCCTCTGTTCTACTGTTTCTGATGAAGGGAGCTTTGACTCTAGAAAACTTATACCCTGAAACTCTTGTGGGTCTCGAAGTTGCCACTGGACTCAAATCCAGCTGTGAATCTGCAGGAGTGACTACGAACATTTATTCTTTGCTTTGTTATCTCAAGATTCCTGATGTCATATTACTTTGCTATCCTTACATTAAATAAGGTACTAAGATCTGGACCACTTAACATTTCTATATTTTGAACTACAGTCTGTGTTAACGACTACAGTTATGGTCTAAATTCCAAATAGGATGGAAGCTGACAGTTTTGATTCCCTTCCAATGTACTGCTTACTTCATTTATCCCTTGCCTTTCTCTCCAGACGGCTGACACTGTTCTTCTCTCCTCCATTTTATCCTCACAACGACCCTGTGAGATAGGGTAGGGAAGCAGTGGCTCAGAGGTTAAGACGCCGAACTGCAGACCGGAAGTTCGGTAGCTCGGCAGTTCGAGACTCGAGTGCTGTGTGACGGCGGGAGCTCCCGTCTCTGGCCCCAACTCCTGCCAACCTAGCAGTTTGAAAGCAAGAAACTGCAAGTAAATAGGTACCACTTCAGTGGGAAGGTAACAGCGTTCCATGTGCCTTGGCGTCTAGTCATGCCAGCCATGGACCATGGAAACGTCTTCGAACAGCACTGGCTCTTTGGCTTGGAAACGGAGATGAGCACTGCCTCCTAGAGTCGGATTCGACTGGCTTTTGAGCAAGGGAAACCTTTAGCGCCTTTACTAGGAGTATGTGACTGGCCCAAGGTCGCCCAGCAGGCTTCCACAGAAGAGGAGGAATTCAGACCTGGGTCTCCCGGATCCTAGCCTGACACTCTCTTTCCATTCCACTTCTAGTCCTTCCACCTACCGCTGAGGTCACTTTGTCTGGCACAGGAAAGGGGGCTGGACCAGACACGCTTTTCTAAATGTTGCTGCTTCTTTGGTTCCCTCTGAGTCCCTGAGGAGGAGGTCCCTCCCATCCCATTCCTGTACAAATGCTACAGAGGAAAGAGGCGCTTGTGTGTGGCAAGAACCAAAACCCTTATTCCTGCATTCAGAACTCTGGAGTTGATTTAGGAGGAATGTCGGTCATGGTTGCATCATGGTGGGCAACTTGTTCCTGAGCGCTCTCTTGGAGTTTTGAGCATGGGTGACCTGACCTAATAAGATCCATGGACAAAGGACATATTCTGCATTTTGACAAATTCCCCGTGCTGGATTACAAGAAAATTTGACCCTTCTTACTCCATGAGTGAGCATCTTAGCGTAAGGTCTATTCTTTGTACCGTCGGTTTTTTATATTTAATTAAGTTAATGGAGTGCTCGGTTTGATTTGTACCACTGAGGAAGGCCATCAGCTGAAATGAGTGTGGTTCATGCATATGTAGACAATATGTACTTTTAACCTGTATTTTTGTAAAATGAGACTTGTCTTGATACTGGGATTAGGTACTTATATGCTGAACCATAGATTGTTGTTTTTAATCATATTTTAGCATTTCTATATGCATTATTAAATTAAATACCGATGTAAGGATTAAGGAGCTGCGGTGGCTAAAGTGGTTAAGACGCTGAACTGCAGGCTGTGGAAGGTCAGTAGTTCAGCAGTTCAAGACCCAAGTTGCCGCATGACGGAGTGAGCTCCCGTCTCTAGTTCCAGCTCCTGCCAACCGGGCAGTTTGAAAGCAAGAAATTGCAAGTAGATAAATAGGTACCACTTCGGTGGGAAGGTAAACAGCGTTCCATGCATCTTGTTGTTTAGTCATGCCGGCCACATGACCACGGAAACGTCTTCGGACAGCGCTGGCTCTTCGGCTTTGAAACGGAG